TCTCCGTTGAGATGGGGGAACGAGCCTAGCATCAAAAGACATGAAAAGTATTTAAAACGTTTGAAAGGATTTGATTTTGCTGGTGGAAATGGATTCTGTCAAAAAGTGTTCAGATATGAATATGTTTTTGTTTTTTTTCTTTTAGGAGGGAGAAGCTTCAAACCACTGCAGTGCTCTTAAGATGCACAGCCGCATTTATGTGGCAACTGAGTCCAATGAGAATGAGATCCTCTGACCTTTTTCATAGCAGATCTCCTTATTTATTGCACACACACACACACACACACACACGCATACACACACACGCATACACACACGCACACACACACCCCTGCACCCATTTTAGATCTGTGAGGATATACAATGTATTAGATAGGCATCAAGCAATTTTAAAGGGTAATTTTCTGCTACACACAGTATAATTATATCTTATTTAAAAAATCACCAGGTAAAAGACTCACGTAAGGTAAGCGTCTGTGGGGTAACATTAGATTATTGACAGTTTTACTGATGTAGAGAACAGTGGGTAATGACAGTAATTCTCCCTGAGTTTAGACGCTTGGCAGGCAGGTTGTTGTAAGTTTGCCGGAGAGGCTGCCACAGTGGATTTAATCTCTTTCAGATGCTCCTGTCAAATAAAACCCTAGTCAGTGCAGGATGAGATGAGAGAACATCATCTGCTGCAGAACCTGTTGTTCTTCCTGATGGTGCATTTTTGACATGATGAATTAAAGGATTTCAAACCTGCCAGATGTTTCCCCTCCAAGGTTGGAATTCCAGCCAAAATGTGGAGAACTCACTTTTTCTATATTTTAATGAAATTTTGATCACCAAGAGAATCTCTTTTAAGACAAAATGGGCTGTTGTATGTCTATAAAAGGCTTCAAAATTAATATATGTGTTCGACCAACATGAAATAGTCTCACCTTTCAACTTAAAATGTTTCTATTTCAACTCGAAAGTGCTATTTAATTAAAGGGCACTTACCACAGTTCCTCTGCTTCAGTCACGGGAGTAGTTAATCAGACTACAGTAATTGGTTAGTTGTTTATAATCAAAGACAATTAATGTTAAATCATTAAATTAGTTTATTTTATATAGAAGTGTTATTGAAGTTATTCTTGAAAATAAAAATGATGCATTTACAAAACCAACGTTAAGCTTGTATTTTCTACCATCATAAAGAAACTTCCATTAAATAATTGTTTACAGTTGGTCAACTATTTCTACATGGCACATTTATGAGGAAAACGTGCCATGTATTGTATCTAAAGGATGTTAAACCTGTTTATATTTTTCTAACATTCCTATCCAAAGAAATGAGCTCAGAAGATATGAAACCAATCATTTTCCCTGAAAAACAACATTCAGTATTTTCTCTGTTACTACCCATTGAACTGTTTTTAAACTTTGTTACTTTGTATTTCTTGATTAATGAAATCCAATCTACAAAACATTGTTACATCGTAATAATGTTTTGTTACAACATTGTAGCCAAGCAATGTTTTGTTACATTGTAACAGAATGCAATCTGTTCATTATTATTCATTATTATTCATTGACCTCAAGCCAAGACATGCACCCCTCTTCAACATTAGAGTTCACAGTGAGAGCTTCTTCCTGGTATTTTTGGTTGAGTCACCAGTTTGCCTCAGCATCTTCTATATCTTTCCAAGAACTGCCTTTTCATTTTTCTCTTCTTGAAACAGACCCAAAACTGTCTAATGAGATCCTTTTTGTCTAATATTTCCAGTCAAGAACTCTAAACATGCCACCGATATCTCGAAACTGAAACAAGCGGAGGTTCAGAAAGCCCAAGGCTGAGCTGCGTTACAGAAATTCTGTTTACCTGGTTTAAATTCATGAGCTAAACAATGATAACTTGTGTCAGATGTGATTTCCTGTCTGTCAAGAGAGGATAGAAAATATGGAAATGAAGATCCAACACCGTCTGGCACTGTATAATGCACAAAGATACACATTCATATACAGTTTGCAATCATGCAAACAGTCAGAAATAATGTTTGTTATTTGATGCGGTGGGAGAAGTGCTCATTCATTCCCACGGAGCTCTACGAATTGAAGTGAAATTAGAGGAACTTGAGAGAGAATTCTGGGAAAGGAAGATTGAATAAAGCTGACCTGGCTTTGATTGAATCCTGCACAGACAGAGGCCGCATACACCTGGGTTCCTCTGTTCATCTGATTTCACATATTACTCTTGAATATTAAACATCAGAAGCTTGTCGAGCTTTCTGCAGCGTCTCTGAGATGAGGTGGCTTCAGGTGCAGCTCAGATTTGTTTGTTTTTTTTGTTGTTGTTTTTTTTTTGCTTGTTTATGAATGCATCTGCTTCGGCCTCGGCACAAAGAGAGAAGAGTGCCACCAGGAATGTGTGCACAGCCACACAGGAAGGAACAAGTGCAGTGTTAAATGTTTTGCTGCAAAGTTGTATTATCACACTTAAAACTGTTTCCTTCAGGCAAGTCAACTGATTTGAAATGGAGATAGAAGAACTGCTTGAAACTTTATTTTCTTAAGGCTGTTCAAAAGACCAATGGGTTGTTTTGTCTGTATGGCTGTTCCATTGAAGTGTTCGGGAAGATATAGATTATAAAACTTTCAGCTTTGAGCATCTCAGAGCACTGGTGCCTGGTGCATGGCACAATTGCAAACGCACTAAGGTACAGCAATCCATATAAACTGAAAGGCCAGAAAGAAAAGTGTTAATTAATGTAACTCTGGAGGAGCTGTAGATACCCAAAGCTAGAAGATGTACTATTCTACATCACCCATGGTGAAACATGGTAGTAGCAGCATCATGCTGTGGGGATGCTTTTCTTCATATCCTCCGATCAACCGATCTGAGTTGATGAGAAAATGTTAGAGCCAAATACAAGAGAAGAAAAAACTAAACTTGTCACAGGTTGGGGAAAAAAAAGTCAGACTGGAACAGAGGTTCATCTTCCAGCAGAACAACACAAAACATGAGCCAGAGTTGCAATGGGATAGTTTAGATAAAAAAAAAAACCCAACATATTAACGTGTTGCAATGGCTAAGTCAATGAAGACCTAAATTAAATTCAGAATCTGTGGCAGTGTTGTGTAATTAATGAAAGTAAACAATGCAGAGGGACGTTTATGGTTGTGTGCTGAGTTAAGTTGAAGAGACAGCAAATTTTCACTGTTACACAAGCTGTACACTGACTGCTTTAGAGTGTGTTAAAGTGTCAGTGCCATGCCAGGAAATGATAGGACACAATATTTACAAAAAACATAAGGGGTGTTGCCTGCTCATGTTTATCTCTTTAATTCCTCTACAAAGGTACACTCTATTCCTGATGATCTACTAAATCCCAATAAAACCTGTCATTTTAATGTAACAAAATATGAAAGCAGTCTGGTGAGAAAAAAAAATAGAGAAGGCAGCATGTTGTTACTCAGGGAAAATGATTCATTTCACATCTTCTAAGCTCATTCCTTTGAATAGGAATATTAGAATTTAAAAAACAAAACAAACAGGTTTAACGTTCTTTAGTTACAAAATCAAACAAACCAAATCGAAATTTGACTTAAGTGTAAAAGTAAGTGATTCATTAAAAATATGTTAATTCCTCAATCAAACCTTTCGACCTTTTGACAAAGCACCACTTTATCTCCTCTTTGACGTAAATGCCGTGCAGATAGTTTAAGACGGGTCACTGAATTGAAGAAACATTTTAAAGAAGATTGGAACAATATTTCTCCTCTCCTCATTTAGCAACAATCCTGTGATTCATTGTTGCTAAATGTTGCTCCATAAGCTACTCAATCAATGGTGGAGTATGTTTTTTTTCCCCCCTCATTCTGGCTCTGTTCCTTTGTCGACTGTCGTAGGGGCAGCGATCTTCATGCGGCCAGGTTCTGAGGGGAGCACTTGTTCCTCTGTGTGCGAAGGATCACAGTTTGCAGAGAAGAGATTGGATTTTGTCTCTCCATTTGGGCCACCAGAGATTAGATGAATCTATGTCTGAGGTTTTAATCCTTGTAGGAAGGAGCACCAAGTTGCATGAGGCGAGCCTGTGCCCATGTACACACACACGCATATCCGCACGCACACACAAACTTACAGACTCACAATTAAGGATCCAGATGCATCTTTTTTTTTTTTTTTTTTTTAAATCCTGCATCTGCAGGCAAGCATGTGGCTCTCATGGCGCAGGCCCAAGCTGCTTATTGATGGGCAGATTTTAGCCTCCATCTATTGTCAGACCCTGTACCCACTCTTTATCTCTCTCTCAGCATATAGAGAGATATGATTATGACATGTTTAAAAACATTAAAATACTCTCTTTTTATTCCACTGTTTCTGGTCTTCTTAGAGAATTTCATACTGAATGTGGACTGAATTAATTGACGGTATTATGCATATTAGTTCATATTTGGCTGCATTAATCTGGCTGAAACAGAAGGACAGAGGGATTTTAGCATAATAATTCAGTTTCTCTACTGTACATTAATATTCATATTTCAAAAACTCTGACAATTTGCACCTGCCAGACATCTGTGTCAAAGCAGTAGCCTGTGTGTCATTGCACTTTTGCACTTTTATTTTTTCCTTAAAAGACCTGGGTATTTTTCCAAAGATATGCAGAGGTTTTGGGGCTCCATTTAAAAATAAATGCTTATCTGTGACAAGCACTAAGTGTAAAAGCTAAGATCAGCAGAGGCGTTTCATTGGCCCCAGTCTTTATTTTTTGGTTCATTCAATTCAGGTAACGTAACCCTTTTTTCTGACTGCAGTTTAGATGGATAACTGATTTAATAGTTGTATAAAACTGGAGAGTTTCTAGCACACGTTGCATTTTGTATGTGAAGAATGTCCAATTACATTAAAATTACCATGAGTGACTACCTATAATTCTTATAGTAGTCAAATGGATGCAGTTTGTTGGAATTATGCAAAAAAATATATATATATATTTATCAAAGAACTGATGCACATAGGAAGCTTCCTGAGAGAGAGAGAGCTTATTTTTTTAATGAAAAAAATATGTGTAGAGATCAACCAAAAATGCAAAGGTATAAAAGGACAAAGCAGTGGAATGCTCAGCACCCCTCCAGTTCTTACTTCAGGTGTTTATTTTTTAAATCTCACACATCTGATTTTGTGCTTTCAAGGCCTCTGATTTGGCTTCATCAATGTCAAACTTTGCTCTTTCTGCCAGAACATGTTTTAAACCTGTCCAGAGACCCGAGGTGCAATATTTTACATGTAGCTTTGCTATTTTCACTTTTTGTGATCATCTTTTCTCCTGGGCAGACAGGATGTTGAAAGCTGCAGCAGAAAAATCCTGTGATGTCCACCATGGGAGAGAGTGAGGGCCCTGTTTTTGTCATTTAACTAGGAAGCAAAACCAAAAGGGGGCCGTTGCAGAGTTAAAACTGGGGAGAGACAGAAACAGTGGGGGATTCAGAATATCATCAGAGGTAGAGAGAAAGAAAAGCTGTTTTATGGGGTTTGCAGATGAAGAAAGTCTGTGTTTACATTACCATGTGGAGTTTTTGTCCCCAAACAATCATATTTTGTCCATGTTTTGATCCTCGCCGGTTCTCCACGGAAGGCGGCGGATCTCTGCAATTCTGGATGTCTGTCTGAGATTGTGCACTTTATTGTGCGACGGTGAAAAACAGTTCTCTGCATAGACAGGCTCGCTCGCTCTCAGAGGTTGAGTGTCGTGCAATTAGTATGCAACCGAGATGCCTCGATGCGGCTGCAATCCGAACGGAGAAAATGAAAATTATAGGAAATATGATGTGTTTTCGGAGCCTTGGGACAAAAGGAGCTAATATGCATGTCAGTCAATCCCGCTGGCTGTAGATAAAGCTCGGCAACCACTTTGTGCCCGAGTGTGACTAAGATATTGGTGTGAACTAAGTGGCCGGCTGCTGTTTTCAGAGTCACTGACCTCCAAAGAGAGATTTATGCAGAGTTGGGAAATGTGAGAGGAGCGAACTGGGATTTTCATTTGAACTAGATGTCATTCAAATGGAGAATGGAGTGACACTTCAATTAACTCGCTGTCCCCAACAAAGTTTACCTTGGTCCTCCGAAAGGCACAGTGTTTCAGTTCGCCCGGCAGGATTAGCTGCTCATACTTCCAATCTCCGACCTGACAGCACAGTGTCACTGCACTGCAGCTGCTGTTCAAAATGACTGCCTCTGTTTCCTCCTCCTGTATTTCCCTCAGACTTCCACTGTGGAGTGCGACGCCTTCACTGCAGTTACCTTGAAGCGTCCTTTGCCCATATTTACTTATACTAAATTGAGTGTTTTACGCTCGCCAGCATTAAACAGCTGCGCCTCTTTACGGCGCCAGGAAAAAGTATTTGGCCGCTTGCAGACCTCCAGCATTTTTTGCATTTTATCAGAATTGATTCTTTCAGATCACGGAATAAATTTTGTTGTCGGACAAAGAAACACAGCGAAAATGCAGAATGCTGTGTTTTTTTTTATTTTTTTTTTTAAAGTTTTTTTCTTTATTGAGGGGGAAAAATTATTTTAACCAACTTGGCAGGATATGAAAGTAACTGACCTCTTAACCTATCAATTGCTTGTAACGTCCTGGCATTGAATGGCTTCAAGCATAAATAGCCTGTTAAAAGGTCATGCCTATGCACTGATTTAAGTCTGACTTTTACAGTACCTTGATTTATATATTTTTTTTTCAGCCAGTCTGGTGGACCTTGGGTTATCCAGGCATGCTTGACAAATTCATTACCAAACAACCTTTTTTTTCAGGATTTCCTGGTAGACAGCAGAATTTATGGTAGTGTGAGTTTAAAGTCCATTTTCTGAAATGCTGTGCAAGTTTCACTCCGAAAGTAATGCCATGCATATCTTCCAACAACTTTGGTTGACGTCTTATCAGTCCAAAGAACATTTTCCAAAAAGTCTTGGCAATCCTCGAGATGATTCGTTTTTGTGCTAAAAACCAGGCAGGCCTTGTTGCTTCTGCGTTTTCTACATTTTATGAATACTGACACTCAAAGTGGTTTCCCGGAGTCCCAAAACCCTTGAAATGGCTTAGCAATCCTTCCCATACTAATAAATACCATTTGCTTTTTCTCCCGCTGATCAGTTTTATTGATTTTCTTACCTCAGGGTAAGATATGTTGCTTTTTAAGATTTTGTAGCCTGCTTTATGTTGTCGGACAGATTCTGTTCAAGTAAGCAGACTTGTGCATGCTTAGTGACACTGTTAAAAAAACTGCAATCAATTACAGTCAGTTCATGAAATAACAAGGAAATACAGAAGTAATCTGTTTTTTGTATTTTTTTTAAAGGGGTGAGTACTTGTCACAGAAGGCTTTTGTGAATTGGTCCATTTTATTTAATCAGTTTCTTAGAAATGCAGCCTAGTTACTTTTGCAGGTTTCCAGAATATTGGACATTTTTTTCCTCAAAAGAGTCATTTGCTTTTTTTTCCAGCATTCCACCCCTGGGCTGGGTCACACCAGTGGTTTCTGTCTGAATCACAGATGATGTTGGCCCCAGTCAGCCTGCAGCAGAAATACCCCTGGCACAAGACCAAAGCTTTGTGTCCACAAAGCTTCCTCCACAGCTTCTGGATTAGGTTCTGAAAGCACAGGGACTTCAGGCCAGCTCTTTTCACCCTAGCAAGGTAGAGGGAGAAAAAAAAAATGTTTTAATAAAAGTTCAAAAAATATAAATGTAAAGGTGGATATTGCAGAATTAGAAGTGGGAGAGGAAAGAAACAGCAGGGGATTGAGGATATTCTTTGGATTTTAGTGGAACAGCAGTGTAGCAGAACCAGTGAAAACTGACATTGTTCCAGATGTAGCAGGACTGCTTCGCCTGCCTCCATCTGCTTCTCCCACTGCTGCTGGAATGAAGCACCAACAGACAACTAAGGAATGCGGACAGATGTTTAGCATTATTAAATATAGGCCTACTTTCGCTCAGCAGCATATCGGAAGCCATCATGGCTGATCTAATCTGCATCTGCAGCCATAGATGCAGTGCATTCTTTGTTGCTTGAGAAATGTGCTGTCACACATCCACTTTTGGCACTAAAATTTTTTTTCTTGTCATCCTTTTTTTTTTTTTTTCCATATTTGTTCACTAGTTGCTCACGTCGACTTGCTAACAATTCAAAACAGTATTTCATATACGATTTCTCCAGCTGGAAGAAACCTGTCATGCACATTTTTCATGTTTCAATTCCTCCTGCAACATTTCATTGGAATGGAGGGTCTGTGCAGAGGGTCCTAATCCTGCTCAGCAGCCCAGATTCAACTTAGCTTCAATGACACAACAATTCATTATTATAAAATGTAGACAAACCAATGAGAATCATTTCAAAAGTTGAATCCAAAATTATTAGGCATCCCAGAAATTGAATAATTTAGTATCAGCTTGTTGTGCTTGTGTTACTTCACACCAGCACATCTGAGTCGAACACTCATGTGTTTAAAGCACCTGGAGAACTTGACTGCATACTTTGGAGGTAATTCAGTCTTTTGATTCAGGTGTGTAGAGCCAAGGGCAATTTTACCCAAACTTCATTTGATGGATGTTCATGAGACAGTTTTGCTTAAAAATGCATCAGTAATTAAACAAAATTCCAGGTTTTGAATTTCAAACGAAAGTAATTTGATCGTGTTATGCGTTTTTGTTTTCAGTGTTTGTGTGAATGAAGTGGAATAATGTTTTTGACTCAAGAGTATCCGGCTTTGAGGATCTCATATTGGCCCATCCCCAATATGTGAAATGTGCAGCGGGAAAAAAAAGCATGCACAAGTCTCCGCTGGGATGTTTTGAGTTATTTACGGATGCTGAAAGTGTGGATTCTAGATTATGTCAAACACATGGAAATAAAAATCCAAAATGAAGACAATATGACCTTTTGAATGTCGATACTCAGGAAACCAGATTTCCGAGACAACGGGGGAAAAATTTTTGGATTAAACTCATCTACACTTATCGTAGTTTAATTCTATCTTTCTAGAGCTGAATATTCCAGACGTTCGATGCTGCTTATGAGATATTTCAAAGAAATAGTAAATTAAAACAAAGGTGTTTTCAGATGTGATATTTTTCTTGATTATTCTCACTCTCCACAATTGTTTACATTCATTTTGTTTTCTCCAGTCTTCTTGTCTCCTCCTCTTTTCAGTTGCTTTTGAAGGAGCAATAAAATCGAACACAACAAAAAATGTCCTAAATGCACTAACAACAAAATGCATGGCGCTTGCAAGAGAGCATGCACTGCTTTAATATAAAATTATTGCTCATGTGCCTCAGCATCCATATCTCATATTTATCAGTGAATAATACCGACTTTTTGACAAGAGTGTTGCATCACACGTCTAACCAGAAGATCAAAAACCAGACTGCAAGTGACAAAACCAATACTTTTTTTTTCTTTTGCTCTGAGTTAAACTGCCATCCTTTATGCAGAAGAGACTCATTCCAGCTGATGCAAACTAACAAATGTTATATCCTCCTCAGCCTTGTGCAGCACGACATGACTGCTCTGTCATACATCTTTAAAATGGCAGTCATACCCATAAATATGGATTCAGTACTCTGAATGAAATGGACCTCAATAGCAACTACTAACAGGCATATTTATACTGAATACCAGTTATGACATGCATGAGTAAATATACCTGAGTGTTGCTGTTGAAAAGTAAATGAAGATGATTCACTGGAGAGAAGCCCCTACATTGGTTGCAGTCCCAGATAGCACAGAATGATTGAAACAACATTGAATCAATGTCAGCCAGAAACATTGAATCAACG